CCATCCAAAAAGGATTTTGAATAGAAGATGGATTAGTATTGGAAGTTGGACAATTCCTGAAGGATACTGGTTGAATTGAAAATCATCTCAGCTAAGGAGTTCAAGGAGAAGGAATGGGAACTCAGACTAATGTTGGAGAATCAGTGGCTGTGACAGCTGAGGACGTCAGGTCAGGGATCTCACGTATTGTAAGGATGTCTGCTGTTACTGATGTGGGGTCTTGGGCAAAAATGAATGAGAGATTTTGGCTAGTTCTCATTGGATCTCCAAGTCTATTGCAGCTCCCCATAAAACCACCAGGAAAACTTTTGTGATAGAAAGAAAAAATCAGAGGCTGAGTTTATTAGAAACTTGCCAGGCACAAGTTCCACTGACCGAATGAATTAATCAAGTTTATCAACTCAATTAGAGCAATTGAGTTTCATAAGCACTTGGGTTTTAGATTCTGTCGTTGTTTGTTATTGGTGAAGACTTAGTCATAGGTGAGTTTTAAGGCAGGAATTACTATGACTGGGATCTAGGCAGAGATGAATAAACTAGGTCAGTTGCTGAAAGAGTCTGTGTTTAAACAGTGGAATGTTTAGAGTCTTATCTTTCTGGAACACAAGGCCAAGCAAACTGTGGCTGAGATCAATGAGAAGGAGCTTGGGTTACACTGACAGAAGTTAAATGGAAGCCACAGTCTGGCTTTTTCAGAATTTCCATAACAAGTTACAGGACAACTGTGTAAACTGCTTTGGTTATATGACCGTATTGTATGCATGGCTCTACCATCAACCTCTTCCCCCTGAATTATGATACTGGCACTATAGCATGTTTGTTACTTAGCCAACCTGCACAGCACAAAATCTCTTTTGTTCCCACTTCTTCTTTCCCCCTGATCTTCCCAGCTCATGGACACTAGCCTCAGCTCTGCATTTAGGAAACATCACCGGTCAGTGATATGCAAGATACTTCAAAGTCACCTGCTCCTAGACCCAGGCCCATGTGGTAACCTCTCTTTTCTTCAAAACTACCTGAGGAACCGGCAGTGTCCTGTCCCGTGGATCACATGTTCTGTGTGTAGGGACAGGTGGGAACCCTACAACAGAGACCAAGAGCACTCACGGAAGAAGAGACAAAATTGCTGATTGTGTGTGTTCCTTGCTTTTGGCAAGGAACTTTCTGAACTCTTTGCTCTTCAAGAGTGATACTTTGGTACAACTGGTCCTAGGGAGAGCTGCCAGGAAGAAATGCCAGACGGTTTTCCCTGGGCGAACTTTAGGGTAATCTGGCAAAATTTACACTGGGTCATGAATATGGCCAAACTGCTAAGTAAACAAGGAACATGGGGGATCTTATGCTTCTGGTGCTACCATAACAAATGATTACAAACTGTACCCAGTTACAACAACAGCAGTCTATTCTCTTGAAGCTCCGGATGCCAGAGGTCTGAAATCAAGGTGCTTCCAGTGTTGTGCGCTCTCCGGTTTCTAGGGAAGCCCTTGCCTTGGCTCTTCCACTTTCTAGTGGCTGCTGGTGTGTCTTTGCAACATCAGCCCACTCACTGCTTCCTTGGTCACATGCCTCCTCTTCATCCTCAAAACTTCCTCTGCTTCTGTCAATAAGGGTACAAGTGATGGCAATGTGGGTCCTTCAAGATAATCCAGGAAAGGCTCCTCTGCTCAAAATCCCAACTTAACACATTTATTCCAATATAGAGTAATATTTATACTTTTGCCATATGCATTAGTCAGTCTAGAATCTCCAGAGAAAAATGAACTCATGTGTGCGTGTTTGTGTGTGTGTGTGTGTGTGTGTGTGTACACATGCATAGAGGAAGGGAAGGAAATAGTGAGCAAGAGAGATTTATTCCAAGGAATTGTAAGGAATGACTCACAATCATGGAGGCCATCAAGTCCAAAATCAGCAGGGCAGGCCAGCAGCCTGGAGATTCAGGGAAGAATCAGGGAGATTCAGGCCAAAAACCATCTGAAGAGTGACATGAGCAAGATGGCAGAGTAGGAAGTCGTATCGCTGGTTTAGCCACAGAAACACCCAATTGATGGAGGTCCTGAATCCGGTTATAAGTTGCAGTCTTCCAGAGGAGCACAAACTGGAGAGGAGCTACTGTGAATAGCTTCTCACAGAGGAGAAGGGGAAAAGCAGTATCTTCCAGAAATGTTGGTTTTAGATGGAGTTAGAGGGATTTGAAGCAGGACAGGAGCATTGGTGCAGGTATAGAGGCAGGGGGACAAATAGGTGTGTCTGGAGATCCTGGAATATTCTAGGCTGGTGACAAGTGTTAGTTGGGCCTTATGGATTGGAGGTAGTGAAGGTTCCACTACTCTCACTAGATCCCACAGAGAGAGCAGGAGTGGAAGACGATGCCCGTGTTGTTGACCAGCACGTCCAGACCCCCACACTCCTGCATAGGAGTTCGAGCAGTGCATGGCTGCTCTGCAGGTCGTTGGTGTCAGGCAGGGAGAAGCACAGCTGTGGGCATCATGTCCCCTGAGATCTGATGGCACAGAACACCCATGACGGTGAAGCCTAGTTGCGCCCAGTCTCCAGCACCACAGGGCTACAAGCCTTTCAGGCTGAGTGAGGCACTTGGGTGCAGAAAGCAGACATGGTAAGACACTGGGTATGTGACATGGGCTCTGGGCACCGGCATAGATGTCAGTAAACTGTGTTCTAGGATCCAGTGCTATTACCCCTAGAGCAAGAGGCCCTGCCTCCATCCCCCATCAAAGGAGGGGCCAAAGGTTCCAGATGGTTCCCTGATGATGCTATAGCAGGTCTGTCTCTCCCAGGGCTATACCCTTAACCCAGCCAGAACTGCTCACTCTAAGGATCCCTCCTCTAAGCTCAAATGGTTCAGGATGGACTGGATGTGCACTCCAGGAAGAAAATGGGTGGTCATAGGTTAATAGAGACTAGAGATCATGGTGGTAGAACTAAAATTATTTTGGGAAAAAAGGTATATAGATATTGTGTTGAGAATTTGTCCTTTCTGTGTAGAATGGGAGTTTGCCTCCTTGTAAGACGCAGTGAAATTGGTTGTAGAGGGGAAATACTTCTGAGGACACAAATCCCCTGGTCTCTCAGTAGAGACTCAAGAGAGAGATACAGAGAATGAGGTCCTGTGCTGAGACTTGGGTGTGGGCAGGACTCCTCCCTCAGCTCTTCTCCCAGTGGCCTCAAGTGGGAGGGAATGTTTATGAAGCTCATGTGGTTGAGGAATTGCTTTGAATGTCTGATATAATGGGTATAAATATTTATGTTTGTTTAAAGTGCTTATTTTTGGGATATTTCAAGATTTTAGTTAATAGGTGTTACATATAATTCAGTGCTATTTTTAAGGTATCCAAGAAAAGATCTCTGTGATACTGGGATACATTTCGAAACCAGCAGTTGACATACTATTGTTTTGTCCTAGGCATTGATAGTCCTCATGGGTCAGTTTCAAGAAGCCATGTAACAGAGAGAAAATTAATAGCCCCTTTGAAGGGAAAGACTTTTAGGTTATTTTAAGTTTATTTATTTATTCTTAAATAGAGATAAAGAGAAAGAGCAATAGAGGGACAGAGAGAGACAGACAGACAGACAGAGACAGAGAGACAGAATGAGAGAGAGACAGAGGGAGAGAGACAGAAGAGAGTCTGTCTGAAGTGGCCTCTGTGCTGACAGAAGAGTGCAATATTGGGCTCGTGAACCTTGAGATAATGACTGAGCCAAAATTGGACGCTCAACTGACAGAGTCACTCAAGCGCCCCTGAAGGAAAAGACTTTTGAAGTATGGGCCTACCCTTGCTTGCAAGGCCCACCAGATCTCATTTCTGTCAGCCTGAAAACCCCTGGTGAGGAGTGAAAAATAATCATGAGAGGACGTAGTTTGTACAACACAGATGCTTCTGTGAGTGGAGGGAGGTGGTGGGCATTAACTGAGGTCCCCGGGGAGCCAGGCTTGGTGTGGGGCAGCAAGAAGCTCCCCTCAGGGCCCTGGATGTGTCAGGCCCCACTCCAGGGACCCATATGGAGGACACTTTGCACCGCCATTGTTTTCAGCCTGTTTACCTTAGTTAGTTCATTTCTTCATGGAAATCCTGTGACTTCCCCTGAATTGTACACTCAGGAGACTGATGGTACAGCAACATGAAGGTGGTTGCTCAATGTCACCTTGTAAGGTGGCAGAACCAGAACACTTTTTTACCCAGATGTTTGTCCTGAAAGCTTTCAGAGAAAGGTGGAAAAATAGTACTGTAGACATGCAGGTATCCAGGAAACTAGCCTTGACAATGAAGAATATCTTACTATCCTCATGTGTTCATCTTTCCAGAGACTTTGCTGAACTGTGTTAACGTTACAAACTTGGTGACCATTTATCCTACCTGAGTAGTACATTCACCTTGAGGAGATTTGACATTAATTCTTTCATATGCATTGATACCCATCCATGTTCACTTTCCCTTTGTCAGGTTGTCTTATGGATGCACCTCTAGTGACCACTCCCATTTCTCACCTTGCAGCTGCTTTTTCTCCAATGAGTTTGATATTTAAAGAGACCATAGAGGATGTCTATCTGTGGTGAGGTGCCCCTGTCATAATAGAAGCTGATAAAGTATGCTTTATCCAGCCCATTCATGAGTTTATATATCATCTGTGGTGACTTTCCAGCTACAGCAGCAGATCTGAGTAGGTCCACCAGAGACCATTGGGCTGTGAAGGCAAAAATATTCACTATGTGGCTCTTTCACTAATGTTACTCACCCCAGAGTTAAAGTGTCCCTTCTCTTGACCTAGCTTAGGGTCTGTTAGATTTTGGGGGTCATTGGCAAGAAACAATGTGCACATGTGGACATTTACTTAGAACTGTTTATTCATCTATGATTCATTATTGTCATTAATTCCACTTTTTCTACTCACATATCACAGGAGAAATCACCAAAGAATTCACAGAATTAGTAGCCAGTTTCATGTGAGTACTTGATATGGACAGTGATTTTTTTTTCTTTTCTTCTTCTTCTCTCTCTCTTTTTTTTTTTATAAGGACATTGTTGACAGTATAATCTGTTTGGTCAACTCATCATGGGCATCATAATGGGACCCATGGAGGGAATTGAGGTTGCAGTCCCCATTGTTCAACTTTCTTCTCCATGACAAACTCCCCGTGAGGCCCCTTAGCATCCGAGGGCAAAAGGGCCAAGTAGACAGGGGTCTCTGCTCCTTCTTCCGCGGTTTTGATGCCCTTTGGTCCACCCATGTCTGTTCTCACCCACCCAGGGCAGCAGGCATTCAGGAGGATGTTGTCCCCTCTCCTCTGCTCACTCAGTTTCCTGGCATGGATTCTGGACAGGACTGTGAGACCCATCTCTGCCACTCCATATGCAACTACTTTCATATCAGGCCAGCCCTCGTTTGGTGAGCTCTGTTCTTTACGTCGTCCACGAACTTGTTCATGAGCCCCACCAGCTCCTCCTCTGCGATGGTCTCACTTCTGAACTTCTGCTGCAGTCCTGGGCTACAGTATTCAAGAGCTACGAAGCTCATTATGCTAGACACATTGACCACTCTGCCTAAAGTAAAACACAAATAATCACATAGAATGGCACCCATGAGAATGATGAATACAAAATTGGCTAAAATCTGTCCATGTGGGAGACAATTACCAGTTTTCTCTGAGTGTTAATGAAGACTCTATAAGTGAAGAACACAAACATTGTTATACCCTTAGTATCTCATATAATGTCAGTAAAGAATCTAATGGGGAGGCAGTGCCCAGATGTTCCCTGAAGAAAAGAAAATGGCTTATCCAGTAACAGGCTACGTGGACTGTAAGGAGGCACTCTCGCATTCATGAGGAGAGACCTACCTTTCCTCATAGATCCCCCTTGGATCTCCCTAAAGATCTTATGACCACTTTGACAATGTTGTATGAATAGATGTTTATTGACCAACAAAGAGCTGATCAGCTTGTTTAAGGCCTTCTGAAGGTGAAAGACTGCATTGGATCAGTAAGCTGTCTCTGCTGTAGCCAGGAAAAGCAAATCACCTCAGTGGGCTGAGTTGCGAGCTATTTTCTATGTTTGTGATTTCATCAACATGGCACTGACAGAATGCCAGGCAATATGGTTGTGGAAAGGAGCAGTGGAAAACTGACATGGTAAAGAGATGCCATAAAAGCAATGAAGTGCATGCTACAACACAGATGAACCCTGACAACATTATCCAACGCTAAAGAGGCCAGTTATAAAACACCACTTGGTATATGATTCTGTATCTGAGACGTCCAGAACAAGGAAATGTAGAGAAAGAGAGTAGATAGGTGGTTGTTTAGGGCAGGGGGAATGGGAGATCAGAGGGCTGATAACTAAGGGCAAGGGTTCTCCTTGGGGTGATTTCAGTGTGTTAATCTTGAAGTGGTGATGGTTCTACAATTCTGTCCGTATACTAAAATCCAGTGAATTGCATACCTGAAATGGGTGAAGCGTATGGTATGTGAACTGTATCTCAATAAAGCTATTAAATAGGTGTAAAGCAATGACTCATTTCTCACTAATTGTCTTTTAACAATATATCAGTATTCATAAAAATGACCTTATATTGATATGTGTAGTTTACTATTTTTATGATTAAATACTAAATATATATTTATATTTCAGTGAGTACTTTTAGATAACAAAAAAGTCAAAAGATACAAGGAAATTAGGAAACTCTCTGTTTTGCATGTAAATATCCCAGAAAGACAGTTGTGGTCACTTAACTCTCAGCTCCGTCCCCCTAAGGAATGGCAGTGCTGTCCAAACTCAATGAAAGAGATAATGCATTACACCATGACTCTTATTAAATAGTGGATAGTGATAATTAAAATGAATTATATAAACTATCTTGATAATGTAACAGTTTTCTAAGATGAACAGCTTTTAGAAAGGGCTCAGGTATCTCAGTCTTTCCTTTCATCTACTGTGTATTAAGTGTAGGGTTAACAGAACATATTTGTCAAATGCTCCAGTAAGCACCTCTCAGGTTTTATTACTTGCCACTAGACATCATCATTTTATTTTCAAAAATATTATCTGCTGGTGTACTAATATGATAAGCCATGTTTCATGATTCAAGATCGAAACACAGAGAAGAAATCTCTGAAAAAAAACCAAGATCGGAACAGAGGAACCCACACTGGACAACTGGTTTACCAGAAAGGCCAATACATGTACTCACAGGGGCTCCAAACTATTGCTTACATACCTGCAGTACCGTCAGTAGTTGGATAATCTCTACTAACTCTCTGTAGGCTTTTGTAATAAAGTGATGACCTTTTTTCTTTTCTATATTGTGTATCTCAGGAAGTCTTGTATCAGCTGTGAAAATGCTTCCCTGTGTATACAAGGGAAGCCTGACAGGGAGTAAGATGTTTTGTAGGTAAATTCCTTCTAGTAGATCCTGCAACTATTCCTCATGGCAGGCCTGTACCACGCACTGACCACATCTCCGGGGGGCCAGAGTGGCTGTCTGGGGGCTTCTCCTTTAACTGGGACAAACCTTCTGTAGACCCTTCTATTCTGACAGCTCAGGACAGGTAACACATGTGCAAGTTGGGAAGCACTTGTAGAGTTTTCACAGCAGAGTCCCTGACAGAAATGTTTTTGTTGCCATAGTGGACTCATGGTTATCAAGTGTTATTTTGAGGACTCTGACTATGCTCTAAGAAGTGTATGGGCCATCCTGACATTCTTATGTTAAGGGTGTGTGAGGTCATGTGAATGTGTGAGATTTGTCCATATGAGTGTGCATGAGAGAGACTGTATGTGAATGTGACTGTGAGTGTGTACATCGATGTGTGAAGTAGAGTGTCAAAGGGTTGCCCTGTCATAGTCACTGTGAAGAGCATGTCACTCAGGTCAGAAAGGACCCTTGCGCTGGTGGGGTCAGGTTGTGTTTGGCTTACATTTCATCCAGACTGTTACTCTGTATGTGACAAGGGATCTAGTTTTAGGCAATCTCTCACTATCTCCTACTCTGTCAACCTCACTGTCCTAAACCAGAGTCACAGTGATCTATACAACACAGTATATTTTAGACATCATCTCATCTACGGTCGCAAACTTCAAGGACAGTATTTGACTCCCAAAGCTATTTGGAGTTTGTAAGTCCAAGCTGGTTCTCCTGACTTTTGATGGTTTAACATTCATCACATTCCCTGGAAGATTCATGTTTTCTGTTAATAAGAGGACCAGTATTTCAGTCTCTTGACTGATAAGGGGTTTCAGAAAACACTTCAAAGTTTTAAAATATACCTCCTGTGGGTTTCCCTGAGGTACCTGGGACTCTTGGAATGACCAATAGAGCAGAGTCCTTTTATTTCCTGATTCTCTGGACTTTCTAGGTAAGGCTTTATTTGAAGAATGGGGATGTAGGGAAAATGATTTGAGGACCTTGAGTAGTGGGACGAACCACTAGTTTGCTTGTCACATGACCTTGGTCTTCAACCAGCTGTGCTTGTGACCTTGAGATCCTTATTCCTTCAGCTTCTTAATGGGGACCATATATAAAATGCCTGACACATCACATCTAGAATGGCCAGCCACCTGCCCTTTCTAGAACCAATATGTCAGAGTGTGTGTGTGAGTGAGATATGTTTACTATTAAAATTTTCCACCAAATTTCTTTAGTGTTTTTTCAGAGTACAGGATATTGCAAAGCAGTATCTTCTCAAGTGAAGGTTGAGAATAACTACTGTAAGGTTTTTTGGCAAGTGTAGCCTTAAGAAGACTGCATTTCTGCCTTTACTTTAACCTTATGTCTGATGAACAAGAGTGCTCATATTTCCAACATATTATTGATTTCTTAGAGATGTTTATACCTTAATATCTTTTTAAGTGTTTATTTATGTATTTATTATTTATTCTTGATAAAGACAGAGTTTGATTAGGGGAGGGTCAGAGAGAGAGGGAGAATCTCAAACAGGCTCTGCACTGGCAGCACACAGCCTGATGTGGGGCTTGAAATCACAAAACTGAAATCATGACATGAGCCAAAATCATCATTGAGCCACCGAGGCACTCCAGATCACACCTTCATATCTTTCTTGAGATAAGTGCATGGTATAATTTAGAAAGAAAAAAAAAAAGAACTACAGCTTATCCCTTTAAAGAGAGTACTCTTCAAATTCAAGAATAGGAATTTTGGGGAAATAGGAAGGAAAAGGTATGGAATGTGGGAAGGGATTACATAGCCTCAATACTGATTGCCTGGTTAAGATTGGTGGGGGGCACTGGGTGTTGTGGATTCTTATTATTTTGTTTTTGTGGCTAAATTATTTCAGTAAAACTCTTTTTGAAGAAAGGACTAAAAAATAATAATATCTACTATCCCTCAATGTCCTTAAGGTCGTAATTCTGTCTTTTGGTTTGTCCTCCCAAGTCACAAAACACAGCAAACATTGGCCTTCTGAATGGGTTCTGAGCCCAGAGAGATCTGGTGGATGTCATCCAAGAATGTTCTTTTTATCCTGGTTTCTAAAGTATGGGGCAGGTGCGACAGTATATGCTCTTGGATATCCTCCCTTGAATTTCTCCCAGATAGTGTCACTAAAGGGTGTAAAGTTATGGTAACATGAACTCCTGTGGCTGCCATTCCCCCAAATAATGGAAGAATTCTGGTGTTTCCAAAGGCGAGAAAACTCTGCTCTTACACTGAAGATAAAGCTTGCATTTCCATGTCCATGAGTCTACTTTTCCTGAGTCAAGATCAATTGTTTGATTAGAGCCTTGCTTAGCAAATGCAGGAGAGCACCCATTCCTCATTCTTATCGAAAGTCAATACACAGCAAACATCCACACTGTTCACTAAGTGAGAAAACAATCAGTTGGAAGTGAGTTTTGCCTTCTAGGGAGAGACGTGCAGGCTGTGTGGTGCTGGTGCATGAAACCCATCACACAACAATGTTATGGTGAGTAAAGGAGTGTGGGGATATTTGAGTACCAGTGAAGCCAGTGGTAGAAGAAGTGATAGAATTTTCCAGGACGGAAGAGGGAATGGGGGCAGAACTAAGTGTAAACTGTACACACATGTACTCATTCAGGCCAAACATCCTAATCTTTCTAAAAGTGTCATCTTACTTAATGAGTGTACTGAGTAGGTGGTGGTTCCCCATCACATTAATGTGGGGGTAAATATTACAGTAGTGTACAATCAAGGAATTATGGTAGTTTGTTTGCTCCAAACTGCTGAACAAGGTTAGTGGGAGCTGATGGGCCTGGACTTGGCAGGGCTGATGACAGAGATCCCTACAAGTTATGCTCAGGGCAAGGACTTTGCTGCTGAGGGCCTTTCAGGAGTGAGTGCACACTCAGAGAGTACAGAGAATAAGTAGATAGGAAAAGACAGAAGAAGCAGCGTCTCTTAGGAAGGTTGTAATTGTCTAGAAATGACAGCTGGATCTGTTGGAGAGCTGGAATGAAGAAGGTTGGACCAAATCCATAGGATAACTGTTAGGACCTGGTCAGTGATAATCAGGAGGTGGGCATGCTGACCTCATTTATCACGGTGGGTGGATGGTGGGGTCTGTGACCAGGATAATATTGGGAAAGTACAAGTGTCATCTGGACGTGTTTTATGTGTTTAGATGGGAGTGTGGATTGGGGTCTGGAGAGCCAGGACTCGAGGAGGGAAGCGAGGACATCAGGATGAGAGGTAGGGGCTGGAAGAGAACTATATGTGTCAGGAGCTCTGGGAATGTCCTAGACTGGTGACCTATTTTTGTGGGGCCTGAGATATTTAGACAGTGAAGAGTCTACTAGTTTGGATAAAATCACTCAGAGGGAGGGAGAGGGAGAAGAAAGGGTCCAGGAATGAATCCTCAGCGAAGTGCACCTGTGAGGGGCACAGAGTCAGGAAAAGGCCTCTGTGAGGAGAGTTTAGAATGGAGACATGAAGGGGAATACAAAGCCAGTTGTGAAAGGCCAGCAGGACAGAGGGCACAGCTGAGTGCTAAACACGTGTGTTCAGTGTCCCGAGGCGAAGGGCACATGTCCGGGTGGGGATACAGCAAGGAGGCTGGTGGGGCTGAGCAAGGGAGAGGGAACAGGGCCCTTAGATGAGGTCAGAGAGTCAGGGGCCAGATCATGTCAGAAACACCACCCCTTGGGCCCCTCGTCACACCTACTTTGGGGTTTCATTAGAGGCAGCAGTTCCGTGCACACGTCCCGGGTACCAAAGAAGTTAGTTTTCATTGTCACTTCTGCTTGAATATGTAAGGGTGTGTGGTCATCAACTTGTAGTGGGGAAGGAGAATAGATTAATAAGCAGTAGCCATCGAGAAAATTCCGTGAAGTGATAATAGCATTTTTGTTATATGTGTAATCTGGTCAATTCTCAGTAGTGTGCAGGTTAGTGAACAGTCTATCCCAACATTTATTATCTGGCAGGTTGATGCTGTGTAGCTCTGTTTGTTGGCACCACTTCAAGAAGCTAAGGTAGTGCACGTATAGTCTCTGCACATGGCCCTGGGAGGATTTGTGTATTTCAAACTAATTTCAAAATTCATGGAGCTGCACAAAGTCCAATGAGGGTAATTTGCAAAAACCTGGGTAGGGTCCCTGAGAGTGTGGTCCCTGAGTAGGGTCCATGGCAATGCCAAGTCCTCTGTCTGGAAATGCTTTCAACTTCTGTAGGTTTCTGCTCTCCCTGTGCCTCCAGTCCATCTACTTCCCTAGGAATGTTGTTCTTGACCCCCTCAGAGCTATGGCACCAGAGCTATGGCCATTCAGACACCAGTCCCAACACCCCCTGGGTGGTCCCCTAAGGGAGGCCTCCTGGCCTATGATTTCCCACATCCTTACCATCAAAACAGACGCCGGCGTTGTTGACCAGCACGTCCAGGCCCCCGTACTCCTTGCGCAGAAAGTCACGCAGGGTGTGGATGCTCTGCAGGTCGTCAATGTCCAGCAGGTGGAAGCGGGGACTCAGGCCCTCAGCCTGGAGCTGCTGCACAGCCGCTTGTCCCCGCGCCTCGTTCCGCGCCGTGAGCACCACGTACCCCGGAAACTGCTGGCACATGTCACGCACGATGGCGAAGCCAATGCCCTTGTTGGCCCCGGTAACCAGTGCCATGCGGGTGTGTGAAGACATGGCTGTGTGGAGTGCAAGCGTGTCCCTGCGTGTGGAGTGGATGGTGCTATGGACAACACCGAGAGCTAGTGGTGCAGAGGCCTGGCCACAGTCAGAAATGCCAGTAAAGCTGTTTCTGGGATCCAGTGCTGTGACTTCTAGAGCCCGAGGCCCCGCCTTCATTCTTCTATGAAAGGAGGGGTCAAAATTCCAGGTTACCTAATGATGCTGTACCAAATCTGTGCATCCTAGGGCTGCACTCCAAGGCCAACCAGGACTGTGTACTCTTCGGATCCTTCCTCTGAAGCCAGCATTGGTTCTGGTTGGACTGACCTGCTCCCCAAAAACGTGTTGGTTATAGGTTAGTGCGGGGTAGAGGTTGATAGTAGGTGAACTAAAATTATTCTGGGCAAACCTCTACAGGAAAAAAGGAGTACAGATATGATCTTGGGAATGTGTCCTTCCTCTGCAGATTGGGAAAGGATGCTTTCTTCCAAGATGCAGTGAAGTGGCTTGCACGCGGGAATGGCTTCTGAGGACACAGATCCCTTTGCTTTTTTAGGAGAATCTTAAGTGGGAGAAACAGAGAATTAGGTCCTGTGCTGAGACTGGGGTGTGGGCAGGATTCCTCCCTCTGTGTGATTCCCAGTGGGGCCCCAGTGGGAGGGAATGTTTATGAAGCTCACTGTGGCCAAGAAGGTGCTTGGCATGTTTGATCTAATGGTTACATAATCTCCTGTTTGCCTATATTGCCTATTTCTTGTGTTTGTCCAAGGGCAGAGTTGCTCAGTGTTCTATATAATTAGTTGTTATTTGTAAAGTATCATCGCAAGAAAGGATCTCAGTGATACTGGGGTACATTTCCAACCTAGCAGTTGACATGCTAACGTTTTGTCCTAGGTTTTGTTATGTATTGTGTGTCAGTTTAGAGAAACCAAATAACAGAGAAAACATTAATAGCCCTTTTGTAGGGAAAGACTATTTAAAGTATGGACCAACACTTGCTTGCAGGGACTGAAAGTTCTCATTTCCGTCAGCCTGAAAACCCTTGGTGAAGAATGAAAAATAATCATGAGAGGAGGGAGTCTATACAACACGGATGCTTCTGTGAGGGGATGGTGGTGGTGGGCATTCATGGAGGCCCCAGGGGAGCCATGCGTGGTGTGGGGCAGGAAGAAGCTCCCTTCCGGGCCCTGGATGTGTCAGAAGGGTACTTTGCACCACCATTGTTTTCAGCCTATTCACCTGTAGTAGTTCATTTACTTTTCATGTAAATCCTATCATTTCCCCCCAGATTGTACACTTGAGGAGATTGACATCCAACAACATGCAGGATTTTGCTCAAGGTCACCCCGTAAAGCGGCAGATTCAAGACATTTTTATTTCCAGATGTTTGATGTGAAAACTTTCAAAGAGGAAAGTGGCAAGGACTGTAGACATCCATGAGTCCACCAAACTAACTTCATCATGGAGAGTATTTTATTATCTTCCATCTTCTCTAGAGATTTTGCTAGACCATGTTAATGTTACCAACTCGGTGGCACTTTATCCTTACATGAATAGCACATTTGCCTTGGGGAGATTTAACAGTAATTCTTTCATGCCATTGATAGCAATCCATATTCACTTTCCCCCTTGTCTCAGATTGTCTCATGGATGCACCTCTCATGCCCACTTCCATTTCTCACCTCGAAGCAACTTTTTCTCTAATGACTTTCATATTTAAGGAGACCACATGGATGTCTCTCCATGGTGAGGTGGCCATGTCATATTGAAGGCTAATAAACAATACTGGCTAGGAAAATCCAGCCCCGTTCATGGGTCTATATATCTTCTATGGTGACTTTCAAGCTAAACAGAAGATTTGAGTAGGTCCAACAGAGGCCATTGGCCTACAAAGGCAAAAATATTCACTATGTATACCAACCCCTGTGTTCAAGTCCCTTCTCTTGACCTAATGTAGACCCTGGTAGTTTTTTGGACTGGTTGGTAAGGAATAATCTGCACATGTGGACATTTAATTAGAATTGTTTATTGATCTATGATGTTCAATCATTATTGTGATTAATTCCACTTTTTCTTCTCAAGTATCAGAAAAGAAATCACAAAAGACTTCACAGAGTTAGTAGACAATTCAATGTGAGTACTTGATATGAAAAATGATTTTTTTGATAAGGACGTTGTTGACTGTGAAATATGTTTAGTCAAATCATGACATTACAGAAAAAAGCCATGAAGGGAACTGAGACGGGGGTTCCCATTGTTCAACTTTCTTCTCCATAACAAACTCCCCGTGGGGCCCCTTAGCATCCGAGGGCAAAAGGGCCAAGTAGATGGGAGTCTCTGCTCCTTCTTCTGGACTTTTAATGGCATTAGGTCCACCCATGTCTGTTCTCACCCACCCAGGGCAGCAGGCATTCAGGAGGATGTTGTCCCCTCTCCTCTGCTCACTCAGTTTCCTGGCGTAGATTCTGGACAGGACCGTGACACCCATCTTTGACACTCCATATGGTGGGAGTTTCACATCAGGCCAGCCTTCGCTTTGGTCCACTTTGTTCTTTACGTCATCCACGAACTTGTTCATGAGCCCCACCAGCTCCTCCTCTGTGATGGTCTCACTTCTGAACTTCTGCTGAAGTTCTGGGCCGCAATTTTTAAGAGCTACTAAGCACATTATGCTAGACAGATTGACCACTCTGCCTAAAATACAACACAAGTAGTCACATGGAATAGCAGGCACAAGAATGATGAATACCAAAATTGCTTGAATTTGTCCATTTGGGAGACAATTACCAGTTTGCTATGAGTGTTAATGTAATCTTCCTACATACATGAAGGACACAATACAGTCTTGACCCTTGTAACACTCATAATGTCTCAGATGACATCAGCGAAATGATCTAACGGGGAGGGCAGTGCCCAGATGTCCCATAAAGAAAAGAGAGTGATTTATACAGAAACGTGTTATCCGAAGGTAAGGAGGCATTCACTGCAATGATGAGTAGAGAGCCACTTTTCTTCACAGGTCCCCTTTGGGACCACTTACCGTCTTATGCTCTGATGGGCAATGCTCAGTGAATGGGTGTCTATCAACCAAGAAACAACAGATCAGTTAATTGATGACCTTTTGAAGAACAGAGTGCATAGGGGTTGTCACTCTGCTGTAACCAGGTAAAAACAAATCGCGTCATGGGCCAAGGTGCATGCTATTTTCTCTATGTTGGGATTTCATCACCTTGAGAGCAGTGAGAAAACACTAGGCGATATGGTCATGGAAAGGGGTAGTGGAAGAGTCCCATGTTAAAGAGGTGCTATAAAAAGAAATGCTACAATAAAGATGACTCTTGATAACATTACCCAAAATAAAGTGGCCAGTGAGAAAAGACTTCATTATATGATTTTTTTTACATGCGGATGTCCAGAAAAGTAAATGTTTTGACAGAAAGTAGATTTGAGGTTGCTTATGGCAGTGGGAATGCACGACTATAGGGCTCAGGCCAAGGGCACAAGTTCTCCTGGGGTGATGACAAGGTGCTAATCCTGAGGTAATGACTGCTCTACACCTCTGTCAATATACTAAACTCCACTGAATTGCATACCTAAAATGGGTGAAGTGTATGATATGTGAATTGTATCTCAGTAAAGCCGAGTGTTGATCATGTAGTTCTCACTAATCTTTTTCAAAAATATATAGTTAGTATTCATTAATGTGAACTTATATTGACATGTATAGTTTACTATGTTTATATCTCCATGGGTATCCTTTGTGTAATAGAAAGGTTACGAGAATTTATGAACAATAAGAGCTTCAATAACATTAGGAAACCATCCTTATTTTATGTAAATATGCAGGGAATACAGTCATGGTCACTTAACTCTGAGCTCCATCCCACCAAGGAATGGCAGTGCCATATAAGTTCAATGAAAAAGACAATGCATGACACTATGACTCTCATTAAGTGGTGTTTAAATGGAATACTACATGGCAATGAGAAAGAATGAAATCTGGCCATGTGTAGCAACATGGATGGACCTTGAGGGTGTTATGCTGAGTGAAATAAGTGAGGCAGAGAAGGACAGCTCTATATTTTTGCACGTATAGGAGGATTAGGAGGAACTTAACAGAGGACCGTGGGGAAGAAGAAGGGGTGAAAAATAGTGGGGGAGAGGTAGGGAGGCAAACCATGAGAGACTCTTGAATGCTGAGAACAAACTGAGGGCTGATGAAGGTGGGAGACTATGGGAAGGGGGGTGATGGGCATGGAGGAGGGCACTTGTGGGGATGAGCACTATGTGTTATATGGAAACCAACTTGACAATAAACTATTAAATTTTTTTTTTGAAAAGTGGTGTTTAGAGATAATTAAAATGATTTCTAGAAAGTGCCTTATGAATGTAAGAGTTTGCTAACATAAATACCTTTTAGAAAGGGGTCAGTTATGGCCATGTGTAGCTACATGGATGGTCCTTGAGGGTGTTATGCTGAGCGAAATAAGTCAGGCAGAGAAGGACAAATATCATATGTTTGCAGGTATAGGAGGACTAGGGGGAACTTAATGGAGGACCATGGGGGAGAAGAAGGGGGGAAATGGTGGGGGAAAGGGAGAGATGCAAACCATGAGAGACTCTTGAATACTAAGAACAGAGGACTGAGGGGTGGTGGGGGGAGGGGAGAGTTGGGCATGGAGGGGGGCACTTGTGGGGATGAGCATAGGTGTTACATGGAACCAACTTGACAATAAACTATTTGTAAAAAAAAAAAGAAAAAAATAAAAAGAGAAAGGGGTCAGTTATTCCAGTCCTTCCTTTCATCTATATCATGTTAAGTGTCAGTTTAATGGAACTTACATCTCAAATGTTTTAGTAAGCACCTCTCAGGTTTTATTACTTACTTCTAATTAGATTTACTTTATTTTCAGAAACATCACTGGTCTGTCTCACAATAAGAATAATACCCATTAATGATTCAAAATGGCAGAACACAGAAGTGTGTGAAATAAGACAGGTGCAGAGGAACGCAT